TGATGACCGACTCTGAAGCAGCCACCTATCCCGCGTCTCACCTAGTCACATGGTACTAGGGACACTAAGCATGAGTGGCACCCTATGTGACTTCTCCACTTACAGCCTGGAAAGAAAATGACTGTTTCTGCCTAAAGGGAAAGGGGCGGCTCTGGAACCAGAGAGACTTCCTGATCTGTCAGTGGCTCAGACGCCAGACAGTGATAACCATCTGTCGTTAAGCGTCTGGCCTTCGGCGAACAGGACAGCAATTTTTCATTTCCTGCCTTCATTGCTCCATTCGAACAGTCGTAGCACGTATGCCCCACCTTGGAGATGCCCAGTCTTCTGAGACTGGCCTGCAGGCTTGGAAGCAGGCTTGGTCATCCATCATAATCTTCCATTTCTGTCAAATTGCTCAGCACAGGATCAGCCCCCACTATGGGCTACGTAACCAATGACTGTGGCCAATCAGATCTAGGGCTCCTCCCCAGTGCAGGGCCAATCAGCTTCTGGCCAGTTCTGCAAATGTCATGGAGGCAACTGACCCATTCATAAACTTCTCCGGTCACTTCATTTATACACGTCTGAAGGGAACCGCTGGCGAATGTGAAGGGGAGGCTTGGTGACATCCTGTCTTAATTTATGAAGACTACATCACAACCACTACACCTCTAGAGGGTGCCATCTGCCATTCCATTTAAGGCTAAAAAATTTCATTCCAACAATGAGTAATAATTAGAGGTTCAAACAGAAGTCAAGTCATGTACAGGTCAGACACTGACCAGCCATTTAAAGTGAAATCCACAAAGCTAAAGTGAAATGTTTTAAGACTGCACATTATACAGGTTAAGACCTTACAGAGAAAACCAGACATAAAATCCTGCCCTTCAAACTACAGCTGGAATTGAAAACAAAAGAGGAACTCAGTGCAACACATGCAAAGCAATGGCAGCCCTGCCAGAGGACCGCTAACCTGCATCTATAGGGTTTCTCTGTTCTTACTGAGAGGCAGACTATATTAAATACAACTCTCATGAACTTCTGAGGGTTTTCAGCTCTTTATATGAATTAGTACTGTACTGAAACATCCACAAGATGATGGGTGGGGCCCCATTTTTGGGAGTTAGGCAATAAATAAATATATTCAGTCCATACGCATTTCTTATGGATCTTGCTTGATTATGGGTGATTTTTCTCGATCACAGTCATTTGACTGCAGCTTAGCATTTGCATGACATAATAACCAATTAATCCTAATTACAGTACCCTCTGTTCCCGAACTCTGCATCTTGCTGCAGAAGCATTTTTTTCACACTGACTCAATCAAAAACTGAGCTTTCCAATCTGTGCATTTCTTGACTCATTAATAAATGCTTGAGGGATTTTTCCTTTTCCCAATTCGGATCTAATTGACTAAAATTTGTTTTTACATAAGAAAAAAAAAACACTCAGAAAAAAAAAATGTCATTTGAATGTGGAATCGAGATTTCAAAGATTTAAACGCAGAGGGTATTCTAGGATTTTTTTAAGGTGTCATAATTCATAAAGAGGGACCAACCTTACCATTAGCCAATGATATTTTTTGACTCAGTGAGTGACAGGGAAGGGACATTCCAGGGGCCAATCAGCTTTCACCTGGGGCTAGTACCACTGTGTGTACTTAAATGCAATCAGAAAGCAGACACTGGAGACCATCTGGAGGCCACAAAAAGGTGTTTTATCCCACAGCAGGTGAAGAAACTGGCACTCATACAGACCGTTTGTGTACAAGTCACTGGGCATTGCCAAGGAAACAGACCTGTTTAGTCCAGGCCAAAGAGGGGCTTAGGAAACTGAAGACTGTGAAAAGCTAGAAACCAGACTAGCAGAAAATCGTCCTTTAGGTTGCCATGCAACTTATGTAACTTTCTTATTGACAAGTAGACTTTGGCAAGAAAAACTATAGGGACGAGCAATGGTCCAATAGCCAAAAGAAAAGGTGCATTGCTGTCTTAACATAAGGGAATGTCCTATGTGCTGCAGTATTGACTACTAAGGACTATTCCAGGGTGCTTTTTTGGGGAAAATATATTAGACTAACATGTAAATGCACATGCAGGGTCGACTCATCAACCTCATGAACCAAAGTTTTGATATAGTGTGACTTTGGCACTTTTAGAGAGGTGTGTGCATTCCAGGGGTGTCGGAAATTGGGGGAACGCGCCCACCTAATATTGGCAGAACCCCCCACCTTCCTTCAAAATTAATAAATAAATACATAATCAGCACCGTGTTCCTTATCTTTCATTATGAATCCGCGCGTTACTGAGGCCAATTTACTACGCATTCAGAGTGCAAGGACAAAACCTAACAAAGACTGCAGTCATGTATGAGACAAAATCAATTTATCATATGGATCAGTTATTTTTTAGTCAAGTGATGTTTGGCATTTAAAACTGTACCTTTAATGATGTTAGTCATTTTAAATGAGCAATATGAGCCAACAATAGAGATAAGAGACAGCTAAGAGAGGCTCAGACCAACCTTATGAAAGAATATCCTACAGAAGATATACTTAACTAAGAATGTTTTGGGAAACAAGTTGGAGTGTTAAGACACAACTTAAGGTAGAAGTTACGAACGACTTAGCATTAAGAAGGGAAACCGGGCCCTGATCATTTACAGCTTTTTTGCCAAAATATCTGATCTCTTAATTGCTCAAACAGAAAAACGGGAATCATTCCGACTTTAAGTGAGCAAATAGGCATGAAAAGCCGGTAGAAAACTTTTTGCAACTATAAAAAATATCTAAATTAATATGTGCAGACTTTCCTGAAGACAAATTGCAGTTCTTGGGGAAAAACGCTTACATACAGTATATATGTATGTGTGTGTGTGTATATAATCTCACCATCTGAGTGTCTCCAGTTATGAACACCTGGTAAAGCTTTAACCGTGTTTCGTAGACATCATGATGAGTGTGATGAGCGTTACTTCTGTATGAGTCAGGAATCCAACTGAAAATGTTCTTCCTTGACTCTTTGAACATCCTAACATCCATCTACAGCCATCTAGCTGCGAGTGACTGTGGCTTTTCTCCATGGGCGATGCTGTGATTTGAACCGCTGGCACCTATGCTTCCTTACAGAGATTTGGGCAGTTAAATCCACCATATTTTTCACTTGCCACAACAATTAGGCTAACACTTTGTGCCAAGACATGCTTATAAAGTAAAACATAAGGGAATGACCTTCGGTGACTTTAAGCAGCTAATAAACCTACCCCCTTTTAGAAGCATTTCCCTTTACTGGAAACAGTCTCCTGACTTTGCCTTTGAAGTGTTCCTTTAATGGTCACAAGTTGTATCTTCAGTGGACAGCCTGTTCTCAAGGTCCAGGTGACACTCAACATAATTACAGAATTTCTTAGACACCCTTCCAAAATAATGTACATGAGACAAACTTGTTTTGAGTTTAAAGAGTCAAATCAAATGACCAAAATGCTTACACAGAATAATTTGCCTTTTCAGGACAACACAGGGAACACTCTAGACTCTCTGCTTGTGGCATTCATTTAATGAGGCAATCACAAGTGGTCACCAAGAAACCTGCTTCCAAGGAGAAGCTTAGAGGTTCCAAAAAATGGGCCCCAAGCACTGAGCCTGCTCCTGCCACTTCCAGAAGCTGCGTTTTCTTGGCATTGAGCCATTCATTGAAACTGAGGCCAAGGTTAATAATTCCTGGCATTTTGATTAGAAGCACAGAAAAAGAGGCGGAGCTTTCTGGTCAGTCCTGTCATGTTAGGCCGGTGTTTCATGAGATCTCTCTCCCGGAGAAGGCACAAATTCAAAGACCCACTTTAATTAACATAGCTACCCCTTCAGTGGACCTCAGACCATGGTAGACTTCATGTTTCTGACTCTTAACATGCATTTCAATAACACTTTACACAAACCCAAACTGGAACATACCTGTCTTCATTCCAGCCTAAAATCAATTGGACGTATCTGTCCTTTATATGAGCACGAATCCATCACTGAATGTCTGAAATAGACTGAGCTGTGTATATAGGGGTGGGGCCACAGGGGCACTGGCCACAGCTGAAAGCTGATTGAACCCCGAGGTGCCCCCTCCCATCACTCATCGATTCAAAACATGTCATTGGCTAACGATAAGGTTCGCCCCTCTTATGCACCCTACCTTAAAGAAAAAAAAAACCCAAACTGTTGGGTGACGTTGCTCTTTAATAGAGTATTGTATGGGGGAAAAGATGTTTTGTCAGTCAATACATTTCATCAGATCTCACACCATTTCAACAGAAGTTCCTCTTTTATAATGTTAGCTTCTCGCTCTCACATCCTACACAGATATTGTGTGTTAAAGTTCTCTGCCTTAAAACACATATTACATGACTGATATTAGATGACTGGAATTCTTTATTCAATTTCCTGCTCAGATCATTACTAAACTACACATAGTCTAAAATTCATTTGATTTATGTACAGGAACATTATTAGAAACCAAGATTTTCAACCAGACGGTCTATAATTTCAGTCCCATGAATTCTCATGAAATTGCACCTTCGAACAGCATACTGAAATTAAAAGTTCTTCAGTGAAGTAAACAATCATATTATATGTTGTTTTCCCTTTATGCCTTCCTTTACAACATCTTGCAAGAACATCCCTGTTACTCAAAGATACTCATTAATTCAGAAGCAAAACGAATTTCAAAAGTCCCATGGACACCCCATAATAGGCCTATCAATTCAAACTGGCAAACGAAGAAATAAAATGATTTGTGCTAGGATTAAGTTTTCTGTTGAAGGTTCCTACACTTTTTTTTCTTGAGCAAATTGATCCAGTGATCCAAAAACAAAACACAAGACATGCACCATTCGAATTCCTTAAGTTTATGTTAAACATTAAATGCTATTCCTAAATACTTACACCAGTATATCACCATCTCCAGCCAAAGTCGCTGAATACAGAATGCAAATGAATATAAAGTACAACTAAACAAAAAAGTCCTTGGTCCTACCTTGATATTAAGATGGAGAAAAAGATGTTACTGTCTCCAACATTATTCTAGCACAGGAATCCTGCAGTATTCGTTCGATTTGGGTCGAAAACGATTAGGTCAAACTGGAAAATGAAATAGGAGTGTATGTTAGCGCCATGGATGAGCGCAGAAAATGAGAACCTCGTACATCCTAACGCACCCGCCGGAAGAGAAAATGCTATTGAAGATAAAAGAAATGCATAAAATTAATATAACCAACAATTTAAGCAGCGCAGAGAGGTAAATCTGCATGACACAAAATATGAACATTTTAGGATCTGGCGTATTAAAGGATACGAATCAAGCACTTTGTTTTAAACAGCAAAGAGTTTATACGTTTTATTCCAGCCTGGTAAAATCTATGCAAATTGTCACCTTTCCATTTAAAAAGGATGATCAACGGAGAATCACTAGAACCGCAGGATACCGGTGAAGAAACATGAAGCTAATGATAGGAATAATTTAAATCGCGATTCACACAGGTGTCATAAATGCTCACGCGTAAGCCGAGTGATTCAACTGCGGATAAAATCACGATATGATATGAATAGCTGACAAATGCAGTGACCGGCAGTGTGATGCATCTTCTTGCGAATCTCCTGTGTCCGAACACCCAACGAAACGCATATTTGTGTATATGAATGACACTTATGCATTAAAAATTTTAACCAAACGATAAACTATATATAAGCGATGGAAGGAAATCGTCCGGTTAAATAAACGCTTGCAGGGTTTTAACAAATACGAAAAACTCGCTCGTCGTTGGTATATTCCTCTAAATAATAGAAAAGCTCCGATTTACCTTTCAGGCCGAAGCTATGACGGGTCCTTCGCAATCCGGAACGAAGTGAGCCGAAAGCCGCTATGTCACAACTCCGCTGTCACCCGGGGCCTTAAAGCACATGTCGCCAGCGAGCTGTCACATGAGCTCGGCGTCCAATCCTCTACTGTGCCCAGCAGCACCAACTCTACCTTTCGGCAGCATGGGAAAGAAGTGGGTCCCCCACGCCATCCCACTCCACCCAGCACAACTCAAACCCAGCCCCCCTATCCGCAGACGGTAACACTGGCGCTCCTGAGGATCCGGCTCCGGCACTGGCGGCTCGCATGGTGCCACCGCGCCGCAAAGGGGTTCCTGGATCCTGCGAGCGGCGCACGGCCGCAGAATAATAATGAGGACATTTTGCTGCACCAGCAGCGACAGATTTATTTTTATAGCCTATTTATTTATTTATTTGTTTGTTTGTTTTAATCTATACTCAGGTTATAGAGAAGGTTTTCTGAAGTCCCGGCCGGTTTACATTAATTGTCAAAATTAAAAAGCCCTTCTGTAACTCCATGCAGTACAGCTAGCACACATAATCAGAAGATGATTAACGTTCAGGTTTAACGCCATATGAATTAAATCCAAGTGGATAAGTGAACAGGCTGTTGTCACCATCCGAAATAATATCGCAAAGGAAAATTATGTTAAAACACATTGCAAACCTTTATAACATGTTCTAAATAAACCTGGCATTGAAATGAACCTAAATCTGCTTAGTGCGGCCGCGGCGCAACTAATTTACAGTTACGTGACAGTCCTCGTTAAATTAAAGGAAGAAACTAATTTAATGTAAAAATAATTGGTACTTTTTACTAAGTGTTGTTATTGTAGACAAGAGAAAACCCGTGTATATACCCCGGACATTGCCTAATTGCGTTAAGCCTCGATTAGCATGTAAATCTCAAAAGTTTTATTTTTTATTTTATTGTTCGCCAAATTTTGTACAAAAATCTTGGTTTATAATGCAGATGTTACTATGGATACAATTGAAACACTCATTCATAGGCTTTTCCCTGCCAAAATACAAGAAATCTAAGTCCTGTTATATGGAACTACACACAAAATAATTAACGGCAATTTCCTAGGCCTAAATTCGAATATAAAGTACACGCCGTTTCTAATTTTAAAAGCCTCATACCAAACATTATTCCGAAATAAGGTAAGTATACCGTAAACTTCACAGTTCAGTAAACTTCATGAGTGATGTAGGACAGGGGTTCGCAAAAAGGTTTTGGAGACCGCAGTTATACCCTTGAGAAAAAGTTCCTGAACTGCTGCAGTAAAACGGACAATGGCTAAATGGGTAAAACTGGTTAATCCGGTTAATCCTCACGAAAATAACTGCAAATGAAGAAGTGACAGAAAAAACGTTTCAGCTCTAGAAATAATGCAGTGGACAAGTAGAAAATGGTTGAGATCATTTTTGAAAATTTGAAAGAATAATTTTTGGGTAACTTGATTATGTACAATCCCATGGCTGCTGCTTGTAAGGGGAACATTTCAGTACCTCTGTGGAACCACAGCGACTCACTGTTAAAGTTACCGGGAAGTTGCACTATCATAAAAAATAGGGTACAGCTCTGGTATAGTTTTGTACCCTATAAGTTACAAACAACAATAAAGTACCCCCAATGATACAAAAATGTTCCTAATTTTTTGTCAATTTCTGTACCTTAAAGGGTAGGGTACATTTATCTACAGCTGGGGTACAATTAGCAGACCCTTGACGATACACCCCCAGTGACAAGTAATTGTACCCTCAACGGTTCAAATTGGTACTTTATTCTGACAGTGTGGGTGTCGCAGATGAACCTTTTTTGATGCCGCCTATGTGCGCTTCCAGTGTGTGTGTCCGCTTGGGAGTTATTTCACCCACCGGCAGTGATATTAATTTGTAATCACAAACAGAGATTTAGCCCCAACAAGCGGGAACGACTGACATAGAGATGCTGTTGCAAACCACTTACCTCTCCTTTATTGTTTAACGGAGACCATATCCTCTGCATGACTGTTCCACATGGCGCAAAGCTTATGAAAGAGTGGACATTGCATCCGAAAAAGAAATAAATCGTATATTTTTTCCCCAGAAAGTACTGTTGATATGGGTCAAATGATATCAAATATTGCGACCCCAGGGTTGATTACTTTGCAGACGGTCATCACCGCAAATGGCTCACTTGTGTGCATATGGTAGAATCAGAGCAGATGACGGAGACGGTGACCTCCAGGGCACCCGATTACACGACCGATCAGCCATTTCAGTTCTGCAGGGGGCAATACTGTCCGAAATTCCGGCCTACACTGAGCCCCGAGGAGGGTCTTCTTTCAGGAGGAACGCGGGCGAATTCCTTCGCCCGATCGCAGCAGTGACTGGAGTTTCAAACCACTTTTTGATTTAGGCAACATATTCGTTATTTTCCTATCAGTGCTGTACGACAACATGACCTTAAGACATGCTGGGTCCCAGTTAGGAACTGCCAAAAACGATGACCTATAGGTCTAGCGTCAGGAGACGGGGGCGAATGTCATCCTGTAGGGGGGATGATGATCATGATAAACCCGAGGTGAAAGACGATGATTTTTAAGTGGGAGCGACATTGTGGGTTGCACATCAGACAGCTGCCAGCCCAGCACTGCCGTTGCCATGGGTAACAAGGCCAGCGCGTGATGAGACAGGGGTTGAAACGAAATTAAATTGACAACTGATAAGCAACGCAGATCTTGTAAACTAAAGACCAGCGCGGTGATTACTGCTTGCAGTTGCATAAAACGACACTAATGAAAGACACTCTATAGCCTACAAGTCAATCCATGCTGTTTTTGTCATCCTACGTTAATAGCAATGTCGTTATTCCACTCAAAATATTTTTTTCTATTGTCTCACACGTAGGCACATTAAGAGTACCTTAGTCATCAGTTGCACTTATCTTTAGTCTGTGGGAGAATCATTTGGAGAAAGTGTACATTCAGCACAAATTACTTTAATTTGACTCTATATCGTTATTATATGGAGTCCTTATCTTTGGTCACAGACTCAATAAGATGCAAATACATTAAAGCATGCTGCTCAATCATCTACATACATGAATCCTTAGAAGTAGTTTCACCGCAATCAGAAACTACTAGAGACCACCCAACAGACCTAACTCATGATACATGGGGGCATGGGTACCACTGAGCGCTTGGTTACTGGTTTGAATTCCATCCTTGGAAGAATTGTCACAGGTTGATGGGGTAAGGCCCCTAACCCCACAACATGCTCCAGGGGTGTTGGATAAATGGTTGTATGTATGAAGCATTCCAATGTACCTGTACTCATACAAATGACAAGTGAAGCTTCATTTCACAGACTAGTTAAGTGCTTACAGGAGACAGGTGATGAGTATGTGACTATGGAACGTTTGAGACGCATGTCTATAATATGTAAAGTCCTTTCACCCTAAGCAATCATCAATATAATTTGACAAACCATATATTGAGGTACTTCCACTGAGCACAAATTATCTGTCCTAATTTATAATGTCCCCAACTGCACGTGTACAAAGCAAATTAGAGGGCACCACAGCACTTCTGCATAAAATTTAATTCATTACGCTAGACTTGCATTGATGATTCATACAGAACGAACTCTTCCTTACACTATTGGCTTGAGAACCATAATGACTCCCTTCCACTGTGGTTATCATTAGGCCCATCACCAGGGCAGAAGTGTTTTTTCTGGGGTTTCCCCGGATTTGTAGAACAATTTTCAGGTTGAATGTGTGACTTCACACCAGCATCACAGAGCTGGAACTGACTAGAAGAGCTGTATTAGTAGCAACAAGGAGCTCTGAGGCAATGTGAGACATTGCTGTCGGCCAGACGACACCCGAGCCACTGAATCTCCAATATCTTAGTCAGAATAGGGTTAAGTATGGACAATGACTCAAGACATTCTTCATTATGTAGTATAAAGACAGGTGAAAGTTGGGGAAGAAATTATCCTCTGCATTATACTTACAAGCAAATCAGTCAAAAATTTAAGTTTCAAAACCTAGTCCTGGAGTACATTAGTTATGTAACTAGAAGCAAAATTGCTTACTCACAGATCAAGTAATTTTGTGCAATTAAGGATTACTAAGTACCAGTGGGGGGCGGGTCTGTTCCAGGAGCTTAAAATTTATGACTATTTGTTTCAAATGATCTCCAAATTACTGAAATATAAAACAGATTTTCCTTTGCATGTGCGATACTCCATCAAGCTGCATTAAGTGGCTGATACTGCCAGCACGCTGTAATGCGCCAAGGCCACCATTAATCATAACTAAGTATGGAAATTCATTGGAGCCTAATCAATATAATGGGCTTAAAGTATAAGACCAAGAGCTCACTGTGAAAGTCCCCCAAGCGTATTTAGCTTAAGCATAGCATGAGTTACGCGTTGACTGAGGTTGCCGGTGAGCCCACACTAACCATTAAGACGACACCCCTGCTGCGGTACGCAAGCACAGCCAAGCCAATCGGTGTGGATATCCTTAGCAAATCTGGATAATACTTCCAATTGCTCGGAGTAGCACACGAGAATGCTATTAAAAAACCACTGAAATGTAATCATGCAGATGTTCCCTCTTGTGAATGGTGTGCAGAAATGCAGCTTTGAAGGGTATCAGGTTAGCTACTGAGGTGTGATACATTGTTACACCATTTATCCCCCGCTCTTGTATCTTTATATAATTCAACAATTAAAATCTAGCTTTAACTCCACTTACTTAATAAATACAATATTAATACCCAAATGTGGGTACAAATCGACTGAGAAGCCTCTGCTCTAAATTCTTCTATGAATTCAATGACAAAATTACATAGAAATCATTCTAGAATTAATTTCACACAAGATATCGAATACTCCCACCACAACACAATCAATCCCTCATCATACAGCAATATTATTCAAAACAAATGTTGCTTTCATTTTATTTTTCATACAACAATTTTAAAATAAATTATTTACATTCACTTTTTAAATCTTAATAAAGCTAGGGAAAGTGCCACAGGTAAATGCTCCATATGCTATGGTGTTGTGTCAAGTTAGTCTGGATTTCTTCAGCACGGAGGAGTCTCCGGAGGCTTTGCGTTTACGTGACAGGATGGATGTGCTGCCCCCCACTGAACTCTGCAGGTACTGCACAGCTTGAGGCAGGTAGTACGCCTCCATCGGTGGTGAAGGCTCCTAAAGTCACAGTAACATAAGAGAAAGACTACCGTAAAAATGACAGCAGCACATAGGCTGGGGGTTAAGGAAA